TTATTGTTGCTAGTCCATCCATCGGATAATTGTTTATGTCCACAGATGCACCACACGGGACTACATCGGAGTATTCCACATGCAGTGCAGAAGCCATATCGAGAATAACAAGAGTAAAAGCGTTTATAAGCAACCATGTAATAGTTGTTATTATACTCAGTAAAGCCAATTATGAGTGCGTTGCGATAATAAAGCCATTTATTATATCGTCTAAATCGACTGACATCATTGTTGTACTCATGTGTTGGAAGTGAGTATATTCTAGCAAACTCATTCACTAGTGTTGGTGCACATTCTTCACTACTTCCAAGCAACACCAATGTTATCGTTTTCTTCACTCCAGTTTGCTTGCGAATAGCATAGTAGGCGTTGTCAATTTGAGTTGGCTCTATGTCGGAAATTTCTGAGCAAGGAATCCATTTAAGTCTTAAGTCTTTATTTTCACTTTCCAAGGAGGATTGAATCCAGTTGTCAATTGCTGGATTATGCATATTAATATCCTTGACTCCTGGAACTAATGGCATGCTTTGAATTAAAAATTTTCATTTCAATACTTTCCTGTGTTACATCGTCGTCGCACATTATTATAACTGGTCCAGCTTTCTTTCTCGAAAAAGAAGGTAGACATGAAATGTTGGTACAATTGCCATTTAATCAGAGTTTGCTACTCACGGTTACCTTTATTCGGTTGCTATTTAACTTCGACTTCTTTTTAGTGGGACTAAGCTAAGAGCCGCTAAGTTGAAGTTTAAACGTACTATCTTAAATACATAACGTGAGAGGTGCTTCGGATCAGAGTGCAATGATTTTTATCGTATCGTGGAGCTGACTCACGCAAAGTTTGTATCATAATTAAAGCAAACGTATTCTCAATGCAAAGATGTCGAATCACACTGCATCAAAACAATTGCAAGGATATTGAAATTGATGCGCGGGACTGGAGTGTGATGAAGTTTAGTGTTAGGTGTTCTTCGCTATTATAATATTCCGTAGCAGTATTATTATTATTATTATTACAATGCTCGGAGGTCTTTTCTTTTTTTTAGTTCAGGGGAAGGGGATTTGAGAAAAATTGTGTCTGCTTTCTTCATCCACATTGTACTCTATCCTTTGTTCAAGGAGTTGTTCTTTGTAGGTAAAAACTTTTCATAATGGAAGCAACTAGATCATTTCTTTTACCGAGTATTCAATAGCTACTGCGTTAAACGAGAAATTGGGGTCAATTCTAATGATTTTTTCTGATTTGACATGAAGCTGATTTTGTGATATTCTAATCAAAAGCGTAGTATTCATGGTTGTAAAGATATTTACGGAAATGCGTTTTCGAGGTGTAATAATCAATACTCCATTTCCATGACATGTATTAATTTTTAATTGAACAAATATTGTGTGATCGACACAGTTAAAACTACAATGTAACAAAAATAAAAAACAAAAATAATAACCAAACAGCATTTTGTTTTACTAAAATACGAAAAAAAAAACGAAAAAAAAAAAAAAAAAAAAAAAAAAAAAAAAAAATTTTTTTTAAAAAAAAAAAAAAAAAAAAAAAAAAAAAAAAAAAAAAAAATCAACAACAACAACAGCCATTATGATGGTCTTTGAGATATTCGTAGTCTCTCTATCGAACGAATATTTTAACAGCGCAACAGTTTAGTTTTCACCAACGGCGTAGAAATTAATTTGCTTGGCTTTCAATATCAATGTTGTATTGAGATCAATCAATGCGTCGCCATATTGACAAAACTTGATATAGACATTCCCCTACTCTCAAAGTATATGTATTATTTGTCAATCTCCAACGATTTATTGAGATCAATCAATGCGTTATCCAGTCTAATAAAGGACACGAAATCAATGCGTCAACACGAAACCAGTGCGTCCACCTTTGCTTAATAAAGGACACGAAATCAATGCATTGTCATATTGGTCAAGTTAAGATAGACATTCCCGTTTACTCTCAGTACGTTGTTTCCAACGATTTATTCAATGCATTGTTGTTTCAGGGCTTGTACAGTACAGTTACATCCTATACAGTCACATGCTGTTTCGGTCCCTGCCATTTTCGGATTTCCTCCCTTAAAGTCACAATCATATGTGAGTCACTGTCACCCGATTTTGGATGATTGTTGCTTCGATAATAAACGTGAGATTTGTGAACATGTTAAAAGCAAAGTATAGCAAACTAGTTAATGGAAAACTCATACTTAAGAATAAATATTTAAAGAGAGAAGAATTAACATCCAATGGTATATTTCAAAAGCGATCTTTAATAAAATTTGGGCATGTTCTAATAATATAATCTTAATCACATGGCCTACGCAAAGTCACATTTCCGTCAGTCTTTGCCTGGTACTCCATAACCGTAAACCGAAGATTTTCTGAAACAAACATTGAAATTTACCCCGGTAATTGACGTAACAATTTATTTAAGCCAATAACAATAATATCATCCACCTTTGTAAACCGAATATTGAACCCGATAAACCGCATATTTTGGCCAATAATATTTCCTTCTATCGAGCAAAGACAGGGTAATCAAAGCGTTCTACAATATGGCGCCAACAGTAGCAATGAAATTATATAGCAATTAAGCTCAAAAAATTGAAATTTGCGAAATAAAATCTACAATAAAAAACGTCGCGATGGAGTGTGTAAGTTGACTATTATCAACATCATTGGCACTTACCCCTACTTCTGGTCTTCTATCAAGCATAATCCATATCATGTAGATGACTCGACTGCTCAGCCACGGCAGCCATTATTCAAACAGCTCAATATTTTAATATCTCCTACATGTCTTACCAACATTAACATCATGAAACCGGAGATGGTTAAAATTAAGCAGTGTATTTTGTGTGCTGTGTCGTGCCAATATTCAATGAATTTGAGAGCTGCCCTTTCTTCCTACTGATAAGCGGAAGAATATTAAATTGATGTTCCTCCATTCGTTGCTTCCTAATTTGGCATAGCTTCCCTACGATTGCATGAGAGCAAGTAAAGGCAATCGACGTTTGGTAAACAGTTGTTTGTATCGAAAACAGCAAAGACAATGTATATGGTTACATGCGGATTATTCCTTGATCAGACGACTGGACATGTTTAGTGAAAGAACATGCACCTTTGATATTATTTAATGCCTCATTTACAGCCAATGACGCGATAATTCTTGTTTGGGAATACTGAAAGCTTGCATTCATGCTGAATTATTCCATAACTTTATACATGAAAATTTTCTGATGGGCTCTGTTCATGTCAGTGGCGTATTCTCTTAGAACATTTCCTCAACACATCTCTGCCTAGGTAGCTGGCTTGTTCCGGATAGTGGCCCACATTCTACATGTAAACCGAATATGTCCGCAAATGTTCTATGAACTTATTCGACCCATACCTATATTGACATAGACATGAACAGACAATTGCTATCTCTATCCACAAAGCTTGATATGCATATAATAATGATGCCAGAAATATTATTGAGATATTATTACATGTGCTTTTTTTATTTGTGTTCGCTCTAATACTACTCTATCTATGCCAACGATGCTAAGAAATTATATATCGAAAGCGCCACTTGCTCACCCACTTTCGTTGTCTATATGATGTAAATTTAAGAAAAATTAGCGAGCTGTAGAGGAAATTACCCAGATAGTGGCAACAAATACAAGACTTACCGGATGGAACGAATCCCAAAAGAAGAATTTGGATGGATCTATTTACATACGAGTAGAAAACCCAAATGAGCATATTCTAGTGTTTATAAGATAGTCATTTTGCATTATTTTCTTCTCGTCAACGCTTACCTTCGCATGGTATATTGACAGCATTCGTAGCGCCTGGAGGTCTGGTAATGCAGGGATTGGTGACATCGGTTATTCCAAGTTGCGCAATCTTCTCCGGTTGTTGTAGGCCAGCAAGACTTTCGCCCAACGGGAACAGTAACACTTCAGCACCATTGCCTTGCTCGTTCCAAATATCCACAGCAGCAACAAGAGCGGCATTGTGTGCAGCGCTGATTGCTTTAAGAGCGAGCTGAACTGCCGTGGGGAGAGTACGTGCATATGGAATCAATGAGATATCAAAAAACGTGTTGGTTAGGATATGTTTGGCGCCGTATGATGCAAGGAGCGACCATGTCTCTGCTAATTTGGAGACTACAATTAGGGGATCTGCTTTTGGATTATCGAGCTGGTGGTGATAGTATAACCGAGAAGAGAATTTGATTAGTCCATGTTGGAAATTATCGACATTCGTTTTATAGAATCTCGTCAAGATAAAAGATGCTTACGTAATCGTTGCCCTGATACGATATGACAAACAATATTTTGTCAAAATCTACACCCTTTAGTGCTTTTGGTCCGTATATATTTTTAACCTGATCAGTAACACTGGGGACAACGCTAGTGTAATTAAATCCTGATACACCTGTTAAAAAACAGCACAAGGAATCAGCTTACGAGAATATGACCATAGTAGAGTTACAATATCATGATAATCCATTTGATACCACTTACCCGTCACATAGGTGTTGTCACTAGTTGCTCCACCATACGCATAATCGTACAAAGTGGCATTCAATATATTTGACAAATACTCCATAAAGACTGGGCCATTTGAGAAGCGACCATTATAATATGGAGGGGAAGGAGGATACGTATGATTAAGTAATGTGTATGTACCGTTGCCATTATCACATGTACTGTCGCCGAATGCCTTAATAATAATAATAATAATATCGGTATCAATATTTAGTAGACAAAAAAAGCTATATTGGTTGTCAAATATTTGATGTTGATTCGCCACTCACCACAATCGTGTCATATTTCAAGGCACCAGCGCGTCCATTGAATTTATGTATGGGAGCGCTCAAACAGCCAGCAACAGAAACAAGAATCACAAATGTGATAAGGACGCTTTGATTTGTCTTCATCGTTTCGGCTGTCTTCCTTGTTTGCATTCCATCCACCCTTTATATCTATCCTAAGAATGTTATTTATAGTACATACATTTATGAGGCTTGCGCATTTTGAGGGGGTAACAGTGGCTTTTAGTGCATACCAAAACTCACTGTTTGGTACAATGAAATATACCAAGAACATGACATAATAAACGATGTGATACATAATAGTTAACTTATTTATCGAATTGCTTGAACAGCCTCGTCAGAATATAGGAAATGTGTCCCAGAGAATGAGTCAGATTACACCCTTGATATGCGCAATAAGCCACACAATTTACATGATACATAATAGTTGCTTTTGCTTTTGCATGTAAACTATTTATCGAATTGCTTGAACATAGTAATAGGAAATGTGTCCCATCTGAACGAGTCGGATTACACCCTTAACATGCGCAATAAGCCACACAATAACCGTACAAGTGTGAGTATTAGTTGCTCTTTTCTGTTCACATAATCGTGATGGTAGCTCGGTAAAAGTCTTCTTACAATGTCGGCGAGAGGTTCTTCTTCATATGGTACAATACAATGTACCTTATCTGTGCACTGTGGTTTATTATTATAATTTTTGACTGGTACTCTTAATGTACTTCCTAAACCAGCGTATTATCATCGGCCCGCTTATCTATCAGAAACTTTGTTGAAGTTACAACTCATGAAGATTGCAACCATGATAAAAATTAAGAAACACCAGCAATATCTGACATGCTTGAGTTTCTTTATTTATCGCAAATAAAAACCTTGACCTATACACCAACCGCAAATAGCAAGCAACCATGATAAAAATTAAGAAACACCAGCAATATCTGACATGCTTGAGTTTCTTATTTATCGCAAATAAAAACCTTGACCTATACACCAGCCGCAAATAGCAAGCAGATAGATAGCATTCTCTCAATCTAATAATGAAAAGCCTTTTATAAGGGATAGATTCTTGCTTCTATTACTATGGATTGAATCGTTTAATGGGACTTTTTCATTGATAGTGAATTGATTGCCAATTCTGGAAGCACCAAATTTTACTTGTGATAAAAAGCCTGCTTTCCCATTCTTGATGTGGTGGTAGAATAGATTTCACTCTCATCTAAACAAACCCGCCTGCTTCTTGCTTTCCCCCCGCGTACACTTGTTTATAACTTAACGATAACTCATGAACCAGGAATGAAATTCAATCGTAAAACGTATGAGATAGTAACGGCTTGAGTGTTGAGAGTATGATCAGTTGATGCTTCCACCAACACATTTTTGCGTTGTTTGTTGGCTTTGGCTTTAGTTGCAATCTTCATCTATAGAAATCTCTTGTAGCACAATGAGAAAAACAACAGAGTCAAAAGTATTCGGTGGTGACTGTTGGAAATATTAAAGAATACAGAGAAGGTGAATATGTAATAGACTAATACTAAAGAAAAGCAGGCAATTTTCCGCAGTCACTTCGTGGTTTGTGTCACGAACGAATCTCGTCCAACAAAACTCATCCAATAATTTACAGATAAAATATCCCCTCTTCGAGATACCTCTCTCAAGCATTGTCAAGCGATCGAACGCACCTATTCACTGATGCCAGCCACGTTAGTTCATGACGTGCTCTTAGAGCTCATCGAACATCTTCACGATGACCCTCATTCTCTCTATTGTTGGATACAGACTAGTCGCTTTTGGCGTATACGTATTACTCCTATCTTATGGAGAATGCCATTTATCCACTTGCATCAGCTAAAGTACAAGGAATCGTCTTGTAGAGCATTGATTCGCACTTATGTCTCTTGTCTCACTCGTACTCAAAGAAAATATTATATCAAGAGAAACATCCTATCACAGAACGAAGCTTTGCCCACCGTGAACTATGGTCAATATATTGATAGACTTGATGATCATATAATAGTTGGAGTTCTTATCGGGACTGGGTGGTTTTCGTCGTATGCAAGTAGACTTAACATATTCGATGCATTACTCAAACTGTTTGTGACTAGCTCACAACGGTTAACCCACATTTCGCTCACAGAATCCTATGTTAACCCATGGAGGAGTTGTTTCTTTCCTCGCACTCTCACTTCCCTCAAATTGAATATCTCTACATACTTTTATCAGCTCGCAATGAAAACAATCAGACTTCAACAAGCATTGGAAGAACTCACTCTGTTGCATGGTCGAGGAGATATTCTGCAGTTGTATTACGATTTTGTGGAACCACAAAAGGAGAGCTTAAAGAAGATTACTTTTATCGAATGTGGCATATCCGATGCATATATATCACGCGCAGAGTTTAATAAAAAGGTGCCACCTAAATTGACGGAATTGAGATTCGAGCGATGCTCGGAATTGGATGTTGAGATACTTGAAAATATGTTATCTGGAAGAATGGAATTGAAAGAGGAAGAGGAGAACGTGTTTGTATTCTTGGGGCATTAATACAATTGATGGTATGAGAGCATTCGTCGGTTAAACGAACCGAAGAGAAAGAAAAAAAGAAAAAGAAAAAGAAAGAAAAAGAAAAAGAAAAAGAAAAGGAAAAAAAGAGAATGAACAAGTGAGACTCAACGGATGGACTTTCAGTTTAGATGCATTTTGATTGTTGGTCTAGTTAATAACACTTAATTTTGATTTTACATTTTAATCGTTCATGTAATTATATTCATAATCGCAGATGACTTGTAAATTGTTGTACTGAAAAACTTGACATGTGACTAAATAGAACAATAACAAATGACGTTTTACTGTGCACGAACGATATTTCTATATATGGAAAATACGAACGCATATTATACAATAGGTAAAATATTACATAATAGTTCATTATTATCGTTCAGAAGTAATTATTGTAATTATTGTCCGACTTTGCTTTTTCGTCAGGAACCACAATATCGACTCGACCGGGTTCCAATTCTTGCTTATGATTATGTACCTCATCCTCCTCATCACTCCCAAAAGTATGTCTTTCGGTCTTTCGCCTCCTTATCGACTGTCTGTTCGATCTATTTTCATCCACGTCAAATACGTCACTCTTGACACCAAGAGTAAAATCAGCCTTGCGGGCATCATTGGATGAATGATTATGGGGGTTACGAAGAGAACGATTCGGAGTAATCATTCTGTCTGCTGGAAAGTTTGGTGAACCGTACGGCCCTTGAATATCGAGTTCAATTATTACTGTTTTCAACATGCACATGAACTGCAGGATGAAGAGATTTGTCAGTTGGAGTCGTCATGAATTGCATCGGTTCTATATTGCGCAACTCAACTTGCCTTATTTTTTCGTCTCGATGTTAGGCCATCGTCTTGCCAATTGCTTTTATGGATAACACTTATCTTGATCAATATTTGCCTGAGCTTTACTAACTTCTCAACGGTTAATTCGAGTTGTGGATAAAAATCTCTTTCTTCCGTTTTCAAGAATTCCACCATTCGCTTCCGCAGTGCTTCAATCTGCTCAAACGACGTGTAGAAATCAACTTCAATAAATGTTTCATCCGTCATATGTCCTGAGCGTCGAATGTTATGAATGAAAAGCTCCGTCAAGCTTTTGTTGGCGACGTGTACTTGTCGACCATCGCTACGAGTTAGCGTAGTAGTCATTAAAGACATTTCGTTGACAATGTATGTTTCCCCTTCTATGACTACGCGATCGCCTATTCAATAGTAATAGCACGGAATATAAGATATACGCGTATCTCTAACGTAAATGTTGAATTCATATGGTCTTCAATCTATTCTAACACTCACCAACGTCGAACGGATGTCGAACAAACAGAAAGATTATACTCTCAAAGACTGCCTGGGCAGTTGACCCAACCATAAATGAAAGTGCAACTAGGACCGATCCGGCTGTTGCAATATATGTCTGGAATGACACATTCAAAAAGGCAATAAAGAGGAGAATTATAACGAACTATGACCGATGCAATATCATGCGTTAGAATGCGAACAATATAACAATCGCAATATCGAACATTTAATTACAACTTAACTTACATAAATTGCAACCATCAAGATAGAATCCAATTTCCCCACGGCGTTATCTAAATCGCTAACAATACAGAAAATATACGAGTCAGATCACGTTATACAGTACAATTTGCTCTCTCTGCATCTTGTATTCATTGCTCTTGCATTTACCGTAAAGAGGCAGAAATAGCTTGACGTTCTTTGTAAGATTCAACACACGATATAAGCATCTCTTCCTTGGTTAAATCTCCGTTGCCATCCTTATCAAACATGTAAAATGCATTTTCAGCCTCATCCTCCGTCTGGAATGCATCTCGAACATCATCGAGCGTAAGATAGGCGCGTTTGTGAGGACAGAAGGCCTGAAATAAACGACGGCCCAAGGCACGTGCACCATGACTTGATTGAAGATAATGTAAGACAGTAGTTTCAGCAAAATTTGCGTTCGGGTCAAACTGAGAGCGAACGTAGGAGTTAGTTATAAGATATCGCCAGTAGATGATTGTCTAGGATTTGAAGAATAACGAATGGTAGCATCAATCCTTACTTTCTGGCCAGTAATCTCCGAAGCCATGTGTCCCAAAACGCTTGTAGTCTTCTCAATAGCATTTTTAGTTGTTTTAAAGATCTTGACAATTCCGCCTTTGCCTTGATTTCCAAAGCCTCTGCTTGTGACCAATGCATCAACCGAAGGTCTGCGGACTCTTTTCTTGGCAACCGCAAGAAGCTTAGAAAGAACTGCAATTTGATACTTTGACTGTGCTATACGATCTTGATACGTTGTCTGATGGAATTTGACGGCTATAACTTGAAGAAGCAATTTTTCGAGGCCTATAATACAAGATGAGATAAATAGTACTAGATGGGGATAAGAATAGTAATTAGCATTATGCATCAGTATTAGGCAATACGCCTAGTGACCATAGACGAAAAACTTCAAATATTTGTCCACATACCTGCTAGTATTCTATGAGCAGTGTCTTGCCAGTCAACAGCCACTCCACCGTTCCCGTTATAGGCGATAATAATTGGATCAAATGTGATAAGTGCGGCAAGAAAGAAAGTGACATTTGAGACATAAAAATGCAGATGTCTCCAATAATCCATATATCTCTTGACCTTGGATGAAAATAGACCAAAGATCCATTCTAGAATAGGTTTAATAAATTAATAAAAATCATTTACATGCAATCTTGTTCATCCGCCTAATTTTCTAACTGCTATTATTCGAAAATCTTTTCTCATCCGACACAGCCTCGTAATCCTTACCAAACAGGTCCGGCGCGACAGCCATAACAAATCTCGATGCAAAGAAGGCGAACCAACAAATGGCCAGCCACAATGCCCAGATCTCTAATGGCACCGTGGCAATATATCTGCCCTTGTAAACTGTCCATCCCAACACTGCAGGAATAGATAGTATTGCTAGACCAGGGAAGATGTAAACCAAGTTGCGTGTACCAACGCTGAATTTTTGACGAAACCATGTACAGAAGCGAGTAAAGCACATTCGATTCGAGGCAACGGATGGGTTTTCGCCATCATCATCAAATCTAGAATAGATCGATGCATTGTCCTTTATTGGGTACGGTTCAGCTTGCAAGTTTGACGAAGGCATAGTTTGAGGGAGAGTGGTTAAAAGTCGGAATGTGAGTTTGAGAAATCGGAGAGTGTATTGGAATAAGGGGGAAAGGGTGGGCAAGGAAGGAGGGTAGGGATGAAGGAGGAGGGTAGGGATGTGATCACTTGCTTTACAATGATTCTTGGAATTGCTTCGGTCGCCAGCGACAAGAACAAATTAAGGGAAGTAAAAAAGCGTTGAAACAAATTAAGGGAAGTAAAAAAGCATTGAAAGGTCGAACAAACTTTGTTCGGTTTACCATGCTGCTTTATTCGACTAGTTACGTTACTCAGACTATCTTGGCAATAGTGCATTCATCCTTTAATAGGAAAAGTCCATTACTACCATCAAAATTTACGGCTAGATTATAGATGTGTTTCGCTTCCCTCTAAACAAAAACGGTAATAGCAATAAATAACTTTAATTAGTTGGATTGTTAAATGGAGACGTCTGATATTTCTGTCACATGCCGACGAGTGAGCGAGGCATTCATTACAAGGCAATGGCGCACAGTTTTTTTTTTTTTTTTTGATTTCTAACGTTATTATCATGGCAAGGCAAGAATAATCTTTACACAATGCCAGGATTCTTAGTAATGGATATGATATAATTATAGTATTATTATTATTATATACATTTAAATACCGGCCATTTATGTAAACAATTTCACATTTACTGTTACGTCGTCATTTGAGACAGTTTATTTGCGTTTGTTATTATTATTGTTATTGCGTCACATTATTATTATATTAATATTAATATTAACGTTAAAAAATAAGTTCAACTGCCGATCCCCAAATACGGGGTCCCAAGTGCTACTCACGTGATGAGCACAAGTTTCAAATACAATCAATCGCGCACATTATCATTGTTATTGCAAACAGTAAAGAGTTGCCGTTTTTAGTGTTTCGAGTGTTCGATCTTGTGTTTATTTTACAATAGTTTTGAAACTAGCAGAAGGCTTTTAATCGAGTATTATTGTTGCAGATCTAGTAGTGTCCAAAGGAAGAATTCTTTGTGAAGAATTCTTTCCCCCCTGCTTCGATACGGGATCCGTTCATTTCCCTGACAATCACTTCCCTGACAGTTCATTTCCCCGACAATTAAATACCAAAAAAGGATAAATTCGAAATAATGTTGGTGAACATTTGTCGGGGAAATGAACCCGACCCCGATACATGGATGTAAATTACTGTACTACTAGTGGTGGTGACGATGCTACGATATGATATGAGTAGCAGAAAGAAGACGACAAAAATTGGATTCATTTAGAACGTTTGTATAATATAATTAGGACCTATTGATTTTGATACAGTCGTCCCTCGTTTATATCTCCCGAGACACAAGCAATTTTATTGGGTAACGGTAATATTAATATATTCTGTTAACAAGTTCTGGCGTTTAGACTTTTCTACCGACTTATCTAAACGTCGAATTATATCACGAACGTATCTAATATCTTTTTCAGTTGTAAATTCTCTCTGTTTTAAAAAAATTTTAACTTTTCATCGCTCAGCTTGGTATTATCTTCTTTCCTTTTAATGATGTCGATTTTGTCCTCAAGTGATATATTTTTTCTTTTCTTTCTACGTTACTTGAATTTGCGGGTTTGGCCATATTTAGGTAACGAAAAATTTAATTTGAAGAGAATTCATCAGTGATGGGTCAATTGAACACAGTTCTTTAGTAAAGATTTTGAACTTCGTAAATATTACTTTCCCTTATTATTATATCTTCAACAAAAAGTGGCATGTTATAATGACCTGATAAGAAAGTGATATTATTCGAAAAATGGCGTGTTATATGACCTGATTTTTAAAGACAATGGTATTTATGCTGTCGTGTTACTCAGGCCATAGAGTCAGCCCACAAACCAGATCCTAAATTACAAATGATCTGGAGACAATTGCAATTCTAATACTAATACTACATAACCAACCAATAAATTTAAGAGATCTAATACTAAGTAATACGGAAGTAGATCGCCTATATATAGAATGACATGATGTTTTATGTAACACAAATAGCATTCATAGTATAACGAGTTCCATGATCATAATAAATATTATAGATATGGGAAAAATTGAGGTTATATCCGAGGGTGGGATATAAATGAAGGGGATACAATGAGGGATGACCGATCAGTAACAGTATTATTCTTAATATATTAAAAAAATGAGCAAAAAGTTTGGATTGTAGTAAGCTCAACTCACTTCTATTTGCTGAAACAATTAGCGTTTGATACATAAGAAGCATGAAATCGAGTATATGATATATTATGGTTAACGCATATTAATATTAATATGCATGCATTATTAATAAATAATAAAATACGTTGCCCTTCATTGATTATTCAATTCCAATTTGACATACGGTATGTCAATTCTAGATTGACACATAAATTCCGATTGACATACAACAGCCCTCACATCGGGGCCCCAAATAACGACACGCGACTGAATATATTCAAACCTGAGTATATTTTAGTATAAATTAAGTATTACAGTCAGCCTCGATAAGCCGGCCAAACTATGTAATAGTAAATTCTCGATAAGCTGTAAGCCGGTCCACGTGATTCGTAATAGGTGACATGGGTTTTGTCAAATTTAACTGGTTGATCACAACTCGTACGGCAATTATCATTCGTTTAAAATAAACATGTTATTAAATCGTATGATCCGAACCGTTGTTATAATAATAAATCCAGTCATACGATTAATCCAAGATACATGTCACTACATTATAATTATACGATTAGAGCAGTATCACGTACAATAATAATAATAAAATTGTTTAATTAAATATCTTTTATCACGTGGGTCTCGTCGCCTCGATAAGCCGGCCAGAACCAGCTCCTGTTGGCCGGCTTATTGAGGCTGACTGTGTATCAGTCTCCTGGAAACTAATAACTACTATGCGCTGCGTTGTTTTTGTTTAATAATGAATAATCTACTCAATTGATTTTTGTGCTGCTCGAAACATCTTTTGACCAATTGTAGGAATTCGGAATATAAGAAATCCAATTCAGCGTTTATGGGAATGCGGGTTGAAATAATCAACTTCTCGAACGTCTAAATTTTAGTTTGTTATTATCCATTTAAATTGCTGAACATCCGAACAAATTTCTTTATTTCTGTGATAATAGACTTAATTCTACAAGGCATCTATTACCCGAAATACAGTATGTAATTAAATTAAGATCTGGTCCGTACTGTTGCAGTTCACACTCTCGAGAAAACCCAAGACCGCTTATTTAGTCGATTAAGGATCATCATATGACTGAGCGTATAGTTTTTATATTGCATATTTATTTTTAATTATCAGGAATTTACCTGCCAGGTCGCACAACCCGACACGTCGTACAGTCCATAATATTTCTATTTACGGAGGAGAAGTCATCTGAGTGTCCAATGAAGGGATAATATTTGAGCCTGCAGATGGCAGGTTAAGGTAAATTAAAATATAAATGTATTTTTAGAGATAACCAGAATTTATCCATGTTACACGGCGAAAATATTTCCTTTTTCACCCCCAAGTTGTCTATTTGACAGAACATGCCATTATCACTGTTGTTGTTATTAATAATATTGTTGTGTTTGTTGTGTTGCTGTGTTGTCGTTATTAATAATATTAGCCTCTCCTCCATAAATAGAAATATTATGGACTGTACGACGTGTCAGGCTGTGCGACCTGGCAGGTAAATTTTATCAATCATGTGACAATCAATCTGGATATAATATTACTATTACAGTACACTAATTGAAAACATATATATACTTGGCGTAGACATGTCTACGACACGAGCAGTAGCAACAGCAGGAAAAACGAGCAGTGCAACTGCAACAACAAACGCTACAATGACAACTACTGCCTTATATAATGCTGAACAGGAATCAATATATAAGCGATATCATGACAAACACAGTGCGAGCTATATAATACGGACTGCTGCAGCTGGAGGAATAGCTGGTTGTATGGTACGTAATCCATTTTCGGAATTTGCAACGTAATCCCGAGACGAACTCTCTTTACTAGACCAAGACTAAAGTATGCAGCTTCTTACACACTTAGGCAAAAACAGTCATAGCACCTCTCGATCGGGTAAAGATCCTCTTCCAGGCCAGCAATCCCAAATTTCAAAAATATGCAGGTAAAACCCCGTAAGTCAGTTCAGGCCTTCTAAAAATAAGGATAAGAAAAGCTTCTTTCTACGACTTATCACTAGCTATTAAATCACAAACATAGGATCATGGTTAGGGGTATTCCAAGTAGCCCGACAACTGTACATACTCGATGGGTATCGAGGCCTGTTTCAAGGCCATTCGGCAACGCTCATAAGAATATTCCCATATGCGGCTGTGAAATTTGTAGCTTACGAACAGTTTAAACATGTATGGGTGATAAGGAATCGGATCAGAAGTTTTAATGAGATTTAGCGTAATTTTCGGATCAACGAGTCGTTCTTATCATTCAGATCTTTTCATTTCTCACGGATCTATTTTCTATCTTTAGATACTGATGCCAACGCGAGCATCCGAAAATTCTATTAGGCAGTTCGTGGCAGGGTCTCTTGCCGGTGTGAAATTGTTTTGATCAATAGAATGCGTCTTCTCAACACTGATTTCTCTTCTAACAAACAAAAAAATTTTCCTTTACATTTTCAAAGGCATAACGTCTGTGCTAGTAACATACCCACTAGAACTTGTTCGTGTCCGCCTGGCTTTTGAAATTCGCAAAGACACGCGAATAGGCCTACGCAGCATCTATTCTCAAATCTACAGCGAACCCGCTGCCTCTCGTCGCGTATTGTTTCATTTCCCTCTGAGAAATTTCTACCGTGGACTATTGCCCACGATCATGGGCATGGTACCGTACGCTGGAGTTTCATTTCTAACTCATCATGCTTTATCCGAATTCTGCCGCAATAGGCTGACGGAACTAACGACAGATCCTTCTCTCGTTCGTGATAAACTCGACGGACGTGGTCAGAAGAGGAGAGCACCATTGAAAACATGGGCTGAGATGGTTGTTGGAGGGTTATCTGGAGCAATAGCACAGACAGTATCGTATCCGTTTGAGGTTATTCGAAGGAGAATGCAAGTGTATGGAGCTTTGGATCCGGCAAGATTTGTGGGAATTTGGGAAACAACAAGGACTATTTGGATGCAAAACAAGTTTAGGGGATTTTTTGTCGGGTTGACTATTGGTTATTTGAAAGTGACGCCAATGGTCGCAGTATCTTTTACAGTGTATGATAGAATGAAATTATTATTTAATGTCGATTGAGTAAATAATCCATGTGTTAGAAATGTCAGTATCAAAAGAGATACAGGGGGGTAGACGTTCGCCTGGACTTTTCTTCACAAGGTGATACTTGATTGATATGTTGCAACAGATTATCTATGCTGTTGACCAGCAGTTGTTCGACTGAGAGGTCTAGACATTCACATAAAGATATGACACGTAGTTAAGGAGTATACATAGTAATAGTGAAACCCGTTAAACCGAAATGCATAGGTGGGAAATGCTAAGAAATTCGGTTTATCGGGGTAAATTTAATATAGAAGTTTTAGAACCTACCTTCGGTTTAGCTCAGTCCTTCGGTTAAACAGGGTTCGGATTAACGGGTTTGACTGTGTACGTCGTATTCTGCATCAAATCTGCCAGAAACTAGACGCTATTGATTCTACTCTTGATTCGAGTCACAGCGCGGTGTGCCAAAATATGGTCACTATATATCTGGTCAGATCCATTACCATAATAAGAAATTAAAGTCGTATTCTGATTATTTATTCTTAACATGAGGGTTTCTACTCACACATATTGAAAATGATAGTATATCTTTGTACGTATTTTGTGAGGAGAATAATTTTTAAAATAAATTTAAGGCTTTTGCCAAATTTTTCCAAAACTGTGAGATTACTTATTACCGCCAAGAATTTCTTCCAGATCGAGAAGTCTTCCCTGAGCGGGTGAAATTTTTATGTAGTTAGAATAAGCGATTTTTAATTAACATTTCTTATAACATAACGAAACTGTTAAAAAGAAGATGAGAACTCGTTTGACGAACAATAATAATTGGAGTGGATCTTGAACATAACCGATTTTCCGATTTTTCACTATGAAATTTTATTTTTATTATCAATTTCTCGTTATTAGTCTTTGACGGAATGAAGGTTACATGTGACAACGCAGGAGGGCAAAACAAAAACAATACTACGATTTGATCTTAGTAATCGCAGGTTATTATGAAAGCATTGAGCTCAACAACTAAATTCAAATATGCGATGCGGTGGCGGAGTCATGTGGTTGAAGTAGTAAAAAAGTCTGCAATACGGATCAGTTGTTTCAGTACAGTGTAAGTAGGTTGCGAGAATACCGTTGCAATTAGTCTGACGGTTTCTCTATTAGCATTTCACTATCCTTTTGCGGAATAAAAACTCCTGTTGCTAATGGTCCTTTCCAGGAATTCAAGTTACTGAAGATGAAGTATGACCGGCAAGAGTACTTTTGTAATTATATTTGGCCTTTCGATATCACTTGTCCAAAACCACCGATACGCAGCACTAATGAATAAGTAAAATGATCACTACGAACGATAAAACGATATCGTTAACAATTGCTAGGAAAACATGTGCTTTTTCCGAAAAATGGTTAATATTCGAAGTGTGATATCCATTCTTATATAAAATTTTATTTACAAGTGAAACTCGATATAAGAAGCTCTCGATATAAGAAACACTAATTAAAATTTGATATAAGAAAGTTGATCTAAAAAATAGTCTATATGAAACTATCTCTATATAAGAAAGTTACTAATAAACTCTCGGTATAAGAAAGATTCTAAGATTTTTTACTATGGGTCCCGATCACTTTCTTACAATATCGCGAGCCACTTGTATTATGAAAAGAAAAAAGCGCATGACGTGTTCAAACAAAATCTCTTTCCTGAGCAAGGCATTGTTTTCGCACACATTAATTAACAGACCTTTTACTAAAACTCACACTGTCATTATCACACTGAAGATCTTCGCACCATGACTGCTCAATAATGAGACCAGCTTTAAAAGAAAGCATTCAAAAAATAGACCGAGTCTACAATCCTTTCGGTTACGTGATTGGTATTGCTGCTGGAATACTATGTCAAGACCAACCTCTTCACTTTTACTTACGTTTAGTACCCAAGTATACAAAAAATATGGCAGTAACACTGGAGTACCACCTGAGGAAAAATACAACCCTCATCCTGAATTTGATAACTATAAAAGGCAGTTAGAAACTACCTTACACCTAACTCAGAAAGGCCTAATTAGCAAAACTGACAAATTAATAATGAAACTAACCGACTTGAAAGAATGTAAATGTATTGATTTCAGCAAGTTAGTTTTACCGGGAGTGGTAACTATCGCTACTAGAGCTAAGCTAGCTAATAACATTCACGCAATTGACCAAGAAACTTGAAACGACATTGGAGTATGCTTAAAAGCTAATGAATAAGATTGAAGCGAATACGGATTGTCATGGCTTTCACGTTAATATTCCTTTAGGAAAAGAAGCATTAAAACTATGAAAAGAAGAAATAAACTCTACTTATAACTTTCCGGAAGAAACAGAACTGATAGTTTCAATGCATTGTTATCCAAAAACCGTGGAGAATGACGCAAGTAGATGGTGAATAAGGAACTGTTAAATCTGACATTAATAAATTTATCGGTGCTTTTGAAAATGAAAGGATTGCTTTTAAACAAAGGCTACGCCAAAGTTTGACGTAAGAATAATGACCAATAATTACACAGCTTGCAAAAAGATTTAGCTACCAAAGAGCAAGAAATAGCGGCTCTCGGAATTAGAGGGATGAAAAAAGAATCCACTAGCCGGATTTCCCCACTGTGGTTAATTCCTGCCGCATTAGTAACTATGGCCGTAACGGCATTAATGATAGCTCTTGTTAAAAATAACCAGTGACGTCACATGTTCACTTTGTTGAAGTACTCTCCATTTATTGTTCCTCCGAGTCAAATTTATTTTCATGACTAGTGAATATGTTATTAATAAAAATCAATCATCTGTTACCTTAACGGATTATACTATTGATCATCGGCCGAATAATTAATCAAACGAATCTGAAAATATAACCAATTCCGAGAAAGGTGAGTTGTGGTTTGATTTGTTTGGTTATATATATTTTTTTCATTAGTATTAAACAAATTGGATTTAAAATATTGCGCGTATACATCTTGCGACAGAGGATCGCTTACGAATATATTGACGTTTATTATTACGCTAAAACTGCTCGCAAATATGCAATTAATATGTTTTGCTCTCCAGACATACTGACCGAAAATTCCGTCATACTACATCAATCCAATAAATTCCAGTCATATTGATTAAATGAGAAGATTGCTATTATATCGTCGAACACAAATCCCAGAACTCAACACAATTGGGTCAGAAGGAAAAGTCACACAAACTTCAAGAGAACAAAGCAGACAGGACAATTTATAAAGATTAATAATCGTTATTAAAAGAAAAGCGCTTATCTACCCTCCGCTTGCCTCATAAGTATAATCTCTTTTTGCACGCAAGTATTGTTGTCGTTGTTGCGAAACTTCCGTTCGACGGAATTCTGCTTTTTTGGGTTGAATGGTCGAGGGTGGACAAATTTTTTGAGCTACAACACAAACTGCCTTGTATGCATTTGTGGACTGCAAAACACCTGCACTACACTGCACTACACTGCTGCGTACAATAGAAATCGATAAAAATAGTCAGTGTAGCATGAGCCGATAATCTCCGATTTGGGCAAAAAAACTTTTTTGGCGTTTCGAGACTGCCGATGGGAAGAGGGGAGACTGTCGGTAAAAGCGCAGATTAGCGTTCAGGAATAACCGACCGTGTATTACTACTATTTGTCTTCTGGTATAATCGCATCAAGCGTGCAAGTCCCATCGTCATGAGAGGTCGTTTCATGTTTCTCGTTGCGTAAAGAGTGTTCGGATATTATAATAATCGCTCATTCCATCGTTACGCAGTAGTCGGACGTACTGCCTCTTCCCTATTCATCTCTATTTCTATCAAGGAGATGCATTGTAATTTCGAAAATCATTGAACTATCTATCATACACCAATGTTATACTGCATATTAATTTGGGACGGAAGAGTTAGCAAGGTTTCTACCGTTGCACTGTCGTTATAAGGACCTTTTTTATGTTTCGCTGTTAACGTGTTTCACAACAGGTTAACGTTCAACCTCTAAGGATAGATTATTGTTGTCCCAACACTCGCATTGTCCTTAACTGTATCAGAATCCTATGGGCAAGATAAACTCAGACACAAACACGATTGCCTATTTTAGCCAGTTTTACTGTTCGTTCCCTCGAATGCATATATAAATATTCCCCACACACAAAAAATATCAAAAGAATTCACATTACATGCACACATACTGATACTACGAATAATTCCACGAATAATTCCATACAACACAACCCGTCTAAATAATGCCAAAATCCGATGGTGAATACAATCCCTATGCATACCATAGACCTCATTCACTACAATGGCGGGGCTCAGTCATCCCGCGGGTCCTCCCTTCAGCCGTTCTCTGTCTTCTCGTCGCAGTTGCAGTCACTTGCATTCACAAACTTACCAGTATTAAACTGAGCATACCCCAATCGCTTATCCCTATCCTTGGTTTTGTCGTTGCTTTGCTATTAACTTATCGCACAAACACAGCATACGATAGGCAAGTTTTGGTTTTTTTGTGGGGAAGAAGGAAATTCTGCTTTTTGAAGAATTAACCAATTATGGATGGATAGACATTAATTACCCCCTAGTCGAGAACTTGATAAACAGCTAACGCTTGTGCCCATCCTCTCCTTCGCCCCGCTTATTGACATCACCAAAATTTTGCAATGTTAGGTACTGGGAAGGTCGTCGCCTTTGGTCAAATCTGACAATTGCAGTGCGTAACCTAGCCCGATCAGTATGGATAAGCATCAAAGAGAATGGCAATACGGATGAAGAAAGAAATGCCATAGTCGTTGAAAAGAAAACTGTAATAAATCTCCTCATTGGTTTTGCCCTTGCAACCAAACACTACCTCAGGGAAGAGAATCCTGTCGATTCGAAAGACGTTGCAGATGTCATCTCGAATATCGAAACTCGATTACCTGGATTCGAGCCGCTTGATGAGCAAGACAAGGCCTCGGTCCATTTGCATGAAGGCGCTAAATCCAATTCTTGGAAAAAAATGTTAGGGAAAGACCGCAAGCCACATGAGAGAAGGAAGGGTGATGCAGCACCAGTCAACCATAACCTGCCGCTCGAAATTCTGCTTTATCTCGCTAGCTATTTCGATGAAAAGTTCAAAGAAGAGCGTATCAGCGTTCCTACTGCCAACGCGTTGGGTGCAGGCCTTGCACAACTGACCGAGTGTTTGACACACTTTGAGAGAATTCTACGATCGCCTATTCCTGTCGCGTATGCTATCCATTTATCACAGACAGTGTGGATCTACTGTCTCAGTCTACCGTTCCAATTTGTAAGCCTGTTGGGTTGGGCCAATATTCCTCTGGTATTTCTTGCTTCGTTTGTCTTGTTTGGTATCGAACATATTGGTGGAGAGATTGAGAATCCGTTTGGTTACGATGAGAATGACTTGAATTTAGATGACTTTTGCGCGTAAGTATTGGTGAATTTTAAGATGACATTGAAAGATGCGCTTGAATAATAATTGATCTAATATAATTTACTTCGAATCTTTCCCAGCCTAATCAGACGTGAACTAAATATAATAACATCCAACAAACCGCCTGTCCCCAGTGAATGGATATTCACAAAAAAGAATCATCCATTCGGTGCTGATAAAGTGAATGCTGAAGAAGCACGTAGATTGTCGAAGGAGGAAGTTCGCTCACTCTTGGGCCCAGATGAAAAGAAAGAGAGCGAAATCAAAAAGAATTCGATTGAGATCAAAATAGAAGAAGTTGATAAAAAACATTAGCGTGTTAGGTCAAGACGATAAAAGACATTAGCATGTTAGGTCAAGACGATAAAAAACCCTTACTGTTATTTAATTCATAAAACTAAAAAATGTGTCGTATGTTGATAGCTTAATTACTGTTACATGACAGAAATCTCTTCTTTTAGTATACACCTGACGGACAGACTAACCATTATTCAGCCCCCCTCCGTGTCATAGGCGTCAAATGTTTAAAGAAAGATCTTTTCTGCATATGCCAACCTCGTTGGTCCAAAAAAAAAAAAAAAGATATGTGACATAGTACAATAAAGCTAAAGAATATAGAACAAGCTTTCCAATTTTGAACGATATAACGCCAGTAGCAACAGGAAACACTCCGAACGAAACGGTCTTGAAAGCAGAAGGAAAAAGTTACAATGGATAACGGCTAATCAACACGGACAAAGCCGAACTTTCTTTCGCTTGCAACAAAAAATCATAAAGCCGAAGGCATTAAAAAAGAGTTACGATTCCTACTTTGCCGCAATGCCACTAGAACGAAATATAACCTTTCTTAAATCTCTGTTACTTTGACAAAGACACAGCTACGTTGTCTGTCTGATATCCATTAATACAAAGTTTGAAATAATTGGTCTTACGCCATACGATAGCTCTTTTCTCGCCCTACAAATACTTATTCCATCAGGGACTACATCTCACATCCAACCTGTGATGCTGGATATTTATAATTTATCAGTGCCTTGGTATCTCGAGGTAATTGAACAAGGGAAGAAATTGATTTGGTTGTAGGGAAGAAATGGAACGGGAGAAATACAAAGGTGGAGAGAAGAAATGGAACGGGAAAATTGGGAATTAAAGAAACGAGATTATTAGGAATAGAAAGATGTATTTCTTTTTTATATATAATTATTTATAAATAAAATTCTCGAATTGTTGATTTTACTTTCCCAGTTGTAGCAATGAAATTGGATTCCTCATTATCCAAATAATTTCTAAGTTAGAAATCTCTTGATATTAGGAGAAAAACATACGTGAGGTCACTGAAAACATTATACAACGACCTAAAGCACAGCCGCAAAATTAAGCATTGGAATATTTATAATGTTATGCGCAATCAGTGAGAAACTGATAGGATAGTGAATTACGAATAGATCATAAATTCATAGACCAGTATTTCTTTTACTAGTAGAGAAAAGTATAGTTTATTGTATAGAAAATATTCATTGATAAAGTGAAATATACAAGTTACAAACTAAATAAATTGCAGGTAAAAAAGAATATATGACTAATGCTACACAGGCAAGGAAAATGAGAATTTTAATCTTTCTACATTATCAAAAGAAACAGAACCAAATGTCCATAAAATTCTAATCGATATTTTTTGTATATTACTATTATTGGAAGCCGAATCCGGTCGTTCCCTCCGAGATTGCAAACAACAACTGTGATCTCAACTGTTCATAACTCTCGTATTCAGGAATATCCAATTGATTGAAGCTGTTAAAGAAAAAGGCGATTTAGTTAGGCATCGATTACGCATTATTTTCTCCCCCAGTATCCCAGCAAACTTACCAAGTGTGAGCCGAAGGCAGTCTATCTGCGCTGGCGAAATCTTTATGAATCTGGAACTTCTGCACGCCATGAACTCCTTGAAGCACTGAAAATCCACCGAGTGGAACTTTTGATGTTCCAGTGACAAACTGCAACAGCTTGGCTCGTTCTTCTTGATCAAAACTACGTACTGCTCGCCAGAACCATTGAATCTGTGGTGATGATGGCGTATAATTTTGGTATTCTGTATTATTCTTCCAGTCGTCAATGTCTATATCGGGCATACCAGATATAAGCAACTCCAATTCTTGTTCATTAAAAATTCTAATTAGATGGGGGGGAATAATCTCGTGGAATCCTGCAAGGAACGCTTCGATTTGATCCTTAATAGCTTTTGTGAGTTTCTGCTCCGTAACTAACATGACATATTCTCGCTTGTTCTGTTCAGTTACAGGAATATTTCGGCCATTTGCTATCAAGTCAATTACTTTTTTCTGTCCGAAATCGTCTATCTCCACACTGAATGTTAGATCAACAACACCGGTAATATCATTATTTAACATCCACACCAGACTGTTATAATATTCTAAATCAATAGCCTCAACGTCTCTGTAGTCAACAGCCTTCCCAAGCATGTGCTTGTAGAACGAACGAGTGAAATAGGCATCCAATAGTCTCCCGTCATATATAGCCTTTCCAATAACACGACCAACAAATTTGAAGAAAAGCAAGTGTTCTGGATTAGCCCCCGACAATCTATTTGGCTGATAAGTTAGTCTGTCCGCAGCTGAAGTCTTGAATAAAGCGTAATCCTCGTTAAACATTTGTCGAGCCAGCACCTGGAACCATTCTCGAGTCACGCCACCGGCATCAACACCCTCTTCGTCATAGAATCTAACGCTAAGTTTATTATACTTGATTTCATCTCCTGTTCTTCTTTGTAGAAATTGGAAAGAGTCGTCGAATACGTATTGACGACGGACATTGAGCTGTAATGTACCATAATGATCTCGAGTGCCATTTCTTTTATGTAGCTGCTGGTTGAAATAGTTCCTCTTATTATCGAACTCAAGTATCTTCGGGTTATGTACAAGCAATGAAAATGATCCACTCATCAACGAAGGGTTATTTCTAACCATAGTGTTAAGTATCTTTCGATGGTTCTCTGTAAAGCTAAAGAATAACTCCTCCATGCTCTCTGTTGCTGGTTGTGAACCTGTAGGTAAAGTACGATGAGCTGCAGCAGGTGTACCAACGTATTTACAGACGACCATCAACGATTCTATAAGCGGTAACAGAACAGTGGCTACATGAATCATATCTGACTTCTCATGTATAATGCTCAGACATCGCCCAAGTTTCTTCCATAGGGAAGTAAATGCAAGACTCTCGTATATATTCATGACCTTCTCTTCATCCTCAGTCAACTTGGTTGTTCCCGCACCATTTGTACTAGTTTGCTCGACTTGTGTATCTGGGCGTTCGGGATCGACTGTTGGTGCAAGAGATATTTCTACTTGTTGAGTAGCTGATTGTTGTTGTTTACGCGAATACATATAATCGACTGTCTTGAGTACACGGAGAAGTTTGGCTTGTTTAGAAGATGATGGTGAAAACTTGGATAATGTAACTCCCTGAACGTCAACGCCCGATTTCGCTTGTTCGAGAACCTCTCCTAATTCATCCAAGTCGTCAAGAATTTCGTTTCCGAGAGCTTGAGCTCTAATAACAAGTTCGGAAGTAATAACATCACGTGCACCCTGTAGGGTAGAGAGGTGTTGAATGACAGCTTGCGTATACTTGAATGTGTTGCTCGTGCATTCACCCGCCGTTAGAACATTCACAACCAGACGGAGACAGTAGTCTGGTATGACGGGTGGTTTTAGGGTCGGCTGCTGGCTCTGCTCGCTCTGTTTCGATGGGGATGCCGATGTTGCAACGGCTTCAGTAGAAGTAGTATTATTGTCAGCGGAAACAGGTGGCTGATTGGTAGAGTCACTTGCTTGAACAGGATCGTTGCTGGTAGTTTGAGGCTGCTGTGGTTGAGCGACGTTGCTTCCCTCCATCACGGTCGTTGCGACGTTATCCGACGAATCAATTGACGTTTCGGCACCAGAATTACTAGACTGCAAGTTTGATTCATTACTATTAATATTACTGCTAACTTTTTCAGCATTAGAACTTTCTGACTTGGCTAATGTAGATAATGGACGTAATACGTAGGATAATAACTGCATTAGTGAATCCATTAAGGGTGTGTTCTTAATAAATACTTGCTTATCAAGTAAACTGAGCAAGGCAACTACGGGATACTTGCTGGTGACTGTTTTGCTTTGTTTCTCCTTACCCTTCCTGCTGTTAGAGCGCTTAAGACCAATAATAGTCTCGTGTTCAGCTAAGAAATAGTTTACGGCCGCATCATTATTATTGACAATATATGTAAGTGATTCCAAACATCTCTGGGCTACAAGATTCGGAACATTCTCGCCAGCTGTACAAACAGTAAGTGGAGCAGATGGAGTGCTTCCTGCGCTTGCTTTCTTCGGCGTACTTTTTTGAATTCCTTTGTTCTTCAAAGACATCTGCGCAAAGCTCTTATCTACGGCCGCGACATCACCACTTCCTTCTTGAAGTTTCTGCAGTAACATTGAAATTAATTCACCACGAGTTTTACTGTTTTCACACAAGTTTGCGAGTAATTTGTGTAGCAAGTTCTTGCCGAGCGGTTGTGGTAAGAATAAAAGTCTAACCAATGTAGACAAACCGCTATTGTCCACTAGTTTCATAGCATCACGATGTACAGTAGGTTTTCTAGTTGAGCTTGTGATGGGACTAATACCTGGCAGAGTTGTTCTCGTACGAAAGACATTGTTATACCGTCTGTTAGCCCTAAGCGCGTTCGCCTCTGCAATAATGGCCGGAGGTAATGAAGCCAAAACCATATCATCCTGCTCCATAAGCACCGTCTGTCTCAATGTAGGTTCTAAAGTAGCAAGGAAAGTCGCAGGATCCATATCTGCAGCTGTAGCTCCTCCACTAGGTCTTTCACGTTCTCTCCTTTCACGTTCAGCTTCTTCCTGCTCTCGAAGCACATCTTCACGAACATCATCAGGGAGTGCCTGTAGAAATTGTGGATCTATTGCTTGGCTGCCTTCTGTTGCTGTGGGACGAGCATGAACTCGTGGTAAGTGTTGACTAAGGACTTCTTGCCGGAGCTCGTCGGGCAAGGCTTCAAGAAACGCTGGATCAATATCGGTATCAGTGATGTCTACAGGATGTCCATTAACCATTACAGTAGTACGTTGTTGTTGGAGTTCAGCAGAGGGTTCGCCAGAATCAGCGGTTGCCGATTGAGCGCTGACAGATTCATCAGTGGCAACGGTTTCTGTTGCTGTTGTTAGTTCTGCTTCCATGGCTTCGGTAGTATCGACAGAAAATTCTCTGGCTAATAAATCTTCTATCATCGCATCACCCGTTACTTCACCGGAAACATGTTCTGTAAGAACTTGCGCTGCAGGTTCATTCCCCTCTTGTTGCATAACAGTATCTTGTGCTCGCTCTTCCTCAGCTCGAAGTCTTGCTTCCTCCTCAGCCACTCTCCTTGCTTCTTCCTCCTCTCTAATTCTACGCTCTGCTTCCTCAGCTCTCCTCTTTGTTTCTTCTTCTTCTCTAAGTCTACTTTCCTCTTCCTCTCTTATTCTTCGCTCTTCTCTGTCTTTTTCTTCTTTCTTCTTTTTTTCATCAATTGCGAGTGGGATAAGAATATTTAGTATCGGATTGGTTAACTTCACTGCTTTGTCCTTTACAGCGTTTCCATACATCATTCGTGCTTCTTCGAACCATCTTCGGCTTGTTGATAAAAGGGTAAGCTCTTGTATTGCTTTTACGGGATCGCTGAAACTTGTGGAAGTAGTTGCATCTTGAGGTGAGCTTGGATGGTTGATAACGCGATCGACTTCAATGCCACTAATCAGACCACCGGACCCAGAGCTTAATTCGATTCTGTAAGTTGGGGGTACAAGACCGTGACGACGATTAAAAAGTTGCTGCAATATATGAACAGCTCCGCCGCTAATTATTTCCTCGATTGGTTGAGCTAAGTCACTGAGATGTCCGCTCCGAGAGCTTCTTCCACGCACGCCATCAGTAGTAGGCATTGAAGTATTAGGATTACGATTAACTAGTAGTGGATGATTTGCAATATCGTCAGCTCCTGTATTTATTATTGGTCGACTTCGGCCAAGCCCAGGGAGATCATCTGTTCCAATATAATCAAATCGGCCTTGATCACCGCTATCACCCCAGATTATATCGAAATTATCCGGCGGAACTTCCAGGATAGCTCGACGCCCAGTACCTAAGCGCCCCCTTCTGCCAAAACTAAACAGTGTGCGGCTTGTACGCACAGGAACTCCGAGATCATCATCAGCCATGAACAAAGGATTGTGACTGTTCCATCCCCAATTAAACAAATGACGATCCTCAATTCCATCATCTGTGACATCTGCACCAGATAAGACGATATTTTCACCAATGTCATCATCGTCGTCATCATCAAGGTCGTCCACATCGTCGTCGTCATCATCTTCGTCCCCTATAACCATTATTTCTCGCTCTGGACCGTCTTCATCTGCACCAAATCTGTCATGTCGAACATGTCGAGGATGCTCATCATCGTCGTTGTCAATGATAGCTTCGCGGGTAATCATAACTGGTTCTTCCCAAGCCATTTCATGGTCCTCAGTATCATCTTCTTCATTATCATCATGATCCTCATCGTCATCAGAATCATCATTATGATCATCTAAATCATCTTCCTCATAATCTTCGTCGGTTTCATGGTTGTCGTCGGATTCGTCACTATCACCTTCTAAAGAATTATGAAGAGCGCCTTCAATATCCATATCGTCACCTCTGTCCTCATCTTCTTCTAGGTCATCATCACTAAGGTCACTATCACTCTCTTCTTCGTAGTCTTCGTCGTCGAAAGCTTCTTCTGTTGCCGAAGTGCCCATAATGCTTTCTGTATCTTCTTCGCTTTCCACTCTACCTTCAATTACACCTAAAGCAGAATGGGCATACAAGTCAGGAGCATCCTCGGCTTCATGTGATAGTTCTTCAGAACTTGATTCAGTGATAGATGAAATGCTGTCACGGCGCGGTTGATCATCACCATCTTTGGTTTCTGTTTCGGGCGCACGAGTCATTCTTATCGCTATTTTCGTGAGGTACTCGAAAGGTCGCAATAAAGCGTTGATTAGTATCCTAGACGATGGGTAATTGAGATCGACTTCGGCAAGTGCGACGGTCAGTGTATTCACTAGATTTTTATCGAGCATAATTTTTGCAATGCTGGTAGGACCTTCTTCAATTGGTCTTGTGGAAGTGGAAGATGGTGTCGAACGTGAAGTCAAGATAGCATAGCAAAGCTCTGCAAGGGCGAGAAGCCTACCGTACTTGGCTTCAATAGGATCATTAGATGAAATGGCATTGGTGAATGATTTGATAATGTTATCGATTACAAACTTCCTGGCGTGCGCTGTTTCAGGGTGTAATTTCTTGTGGTCTTTCTCTGCATTATTAGAGCATAATGCAACCAACACAGACGTTGCCATTTTAGATTGTCCTAATTTCTTACGCATTTCGATATCATTAGTTTGAGCAATACAACCGTAGGGAAGTAGATCGTTCAATAGATGAGTGATAAGCGAAGTTCGTCTCATTGAAGCATGGACTCCTGTACTATTACGGCGCCGAGAAAGATTAACCACATCCATCTTACAGGATGGATACGATGACACCAATTCAGTAAGACACTGCAACAAGAAACATCGACATAAGTAATCGAGATGTTCCTCTGGTTTAAATAATGGCTTGACTTCCGGCTGAACAGATTGACCGTTTATAATGATAGTCGGGTTCCCGATGTCATCCTCTTGCTTGGATGATTCAGATGGTTTAATTTCTGTTGCAACAGTCTGATGGTCACGAATGCCCATTAATTCACCGGCGATGAATGCAACAAGATTTTCAGACATTTCCGAGCTATGGAGTAGTTTTTTTGGTGATTCCGAGGTGGGAGCAGACGTAGAAGCTGTTACATCCATCATCTCCTCTTCATGAATAGTTAAGTCTCTGCGATCAATTTCTGAAGGATCTGCCGAATTTTCTGTTTTCACCAAGGATATTTGCATATTCCGCCCAGTAGTCTCATACCTCGTTAATTTGCAAAGTTTTGTTGTAGATTGTATGAATAAATCAGGATCTCGCAGAGCCAATTGGCTGTTACTACACAAGTAGTTGTTGATGTCGAACACTCTTGATCTTGGATGTGAAAACCAATTCTTAATTTCTCGCTCCATGATTTCCGAAATGACTTTACTATCCTCAATGATATGTCGCACAATCATTATAGAATAAACATGATGGCGATGAAACTCGTGGGCACGAGTTTTGAAGACGTTAAGTAGTGTTAATAATCCATTCTTCTGCACAAATTCGACAGCGTATTTGTGAAAGCGTGTCAATCGCACGAGAATTCTGAACAACGCCACAGTGACATCTTTATTCGAAGGATCTCTCTCGAGAATGTTCAAAGAAAAGTCCAGTAAAGCAGAGCGATCATCATCACTAATGGGAATATTGCTAATGGCCAAATCGTCGTGTTCCTTTGATTCATCCAACGTAGTCTCAAGTGCGACATAAGGAGGTTCATCAGCTAGCGATATAAATGCTTCTACAATCAAGAGAGCCGATGCAAGCCAAGGGGCCAATAAGTCTTTGTCAGGTAGTGAAGCTTGGTTAAGAATCAACTGTAAGACGTTCTTGAATAAGGGCATCGATAACGAAGGCACTTTGCTTTGAATACTTGAATCGTTAACTAATAAAGCCACCAAACGCAAGCGTGAACTCAACGCTTTCTGGCGCTGCTCTCCAGTGATGGATTCTTTGGATAGAATAAGATCAATGACTTTGATAAATTCAAAGGTCTTCTCAAACTCGTTCTTGCTAAGCAGCACGAACAAGTCCTTCACGTCGAATGTTACATCTTCAACATTATCAAGAAGTGCGAGAGCTGTAGCAGCGCATGTATTTTTAAGTTCTGTTCGAATGTCCTTATATAACTCAACCGGGGCCACCTCTCTTTCTTTGCCCTTTTCTGTTTTCTTGGCATTTGTGTCCATATCCATCGGAACAACAGCGTCAGAACTTCCTTCATCAGGAGACAATATATCACCCAAATTAACACCAATGTTGAGATTAACTGCGTTAGGGTCTTGTAACCCGCTAAATATGTTGGTAGATTCAATGGTTGTATCCGTAACCATATCTTGATGTCCATCAGCAGCATCGATAGACTGATTAACGTTTGTATCTGCATTTGCTTCTGTTCCTTGATTAGTACCGTCGGCTGAAATATCTGTCGTCGTGTCTCTACTTTCTGTCGCTGCTTGAGCAGCCTCTGCTGCTTGGATTGCTTCTGCCGTTGCTTCAGGATGTGTCAGTAAATACTCTGTTGCGGCTTCTACCTGATTGTCGCATCTGATCAGAGCAGTTTCTGCTGCTCCTCTGGGGAATCCCATTTCAATTAGCTGCTGTACTTTTTCTTCATTAGGGACAAGCGTACCAAACAGGAAAGAAGAATCAAAACTACTTGGTCCTTCGGGTCGCTGATTAACTTCACCTTCGGCTTTCAGGATTTGAACAAGAATCTGAATGATCGTCCGAATCACACTTACTGCTGCCTTCTCTAAATAAGGACTCAACCAAAAATCTTTGATTATTGGCAATATTTTAGCGCGGATATTAACCAGAAACTCGTGAGGGTCAAAGAATTCGGAACTGCCCCGGTCGCGCTCTTTAGAAGTTATTGAAGTCGTGTACTGTGATTCATGTAGTACTTTTGATAACGATAGAAATTGGAGAAAACTGAGTGCCATTTGCAAGCATTTTTGAAGCTTTGTTTCTCTCTCCTTGGCATTTTCATCATCATCTACGTTTGAGTATTCTTCGATGGCTTGAGATTCATCCCAGAACTGACGGAGCAAGCCCAACACACATTCAAGTCCTCCAATACGATCGAAAGATACTGCTAGCATTGTTTGTAAGTTTATTTGTCTCCGCTCTAGAATTCACAAAATTTCTGAGAATTCTGGTTAAAAAAACAAAACAAACAAAACCTAATGGTAGGCAATAAATTTACGGTACCATCCAAGTAAACCAATGATAATAGTCCCAACATCACTGTAAGATAATTGTATTTGTTCAAAGCATCGGCATTGGGGTCAGATCCGCCTGCCAAAGCTACCAAATTGACAGCCGTTAATTAGTGAATTTTTTTTAGGTAACCAACTGAATAAATCCTGTATTTACCATAACGAGGCCACGCCAAATGATCACGAAGAATTTCTGCCACAGTATCAGATACTTTGAAAGCCTGTTTCCTCATGTTGACATCGTGTGTCTTGCGAGCATAAAGCATCCTTGACAAGCCTAAACACAGAAGTTAAAATATTGCTTAGTCATTCCTTGCAAGAAAACGACTATGGTGACCAATCAGATTTACCTTGAAGTAGTCGTGAAATGCATCCTGGTATTTCTGTAACCAAATATTTGAAATACTTGGCATTTTTTACCCTACGATCATTAGGATCAATTAAAGGTCCTATTGTCTCCATAACATCTTTGCTTGTGTCGGCGGTAGTGTTATTAGATGTAGTGCCCTGTGCAGGTTCGATACCGGCAAGTTTCTTTGGTTTGGTCGAGCTGATGTCCCATGATTTCGGCAGAGATGTCTTTAAAATTACGCCTTCCCAAACACAAGTACTATTTGCACAAAAATAATAATAATAATAAAATAAGTTGGAGAACATTACGTGTTTGTAGAGTATGTCAAAGTATATACCGATGCAATTTTCCAAGTGCAGACAGTGCTTCGTTATCTGCAGTGAAGATTTCCACGATTGATGCAGTGCTCTTCAAATGCGAAGACATTGATAGATAATAAAGGTCGGAAATAAGCCCAACAAGACCATTAAGTGTAATCAACGATCTAAACGTCATATTTGCTTCAGACAATTTAAGTGTATCCTCTCCTTTTTCAGGGAATATAGCAAGAAAAAACAATCAATTTATGTCTGCGGTGTGTTTTCGAGTTAGCAATTTAAGATTTCATCTGACGTACCAACTAAGTCAATATATTCAATAAGTCTGCCCCCTTTGCCTGTATAATCCATGAATTCTTTTGCTTTCGTAAGGGCTGAATTGAGAGCAGTCAATATATTCCTTATGACTCGCTTTGGTTCATTTTCAGCGATCGTACGCATTAATTGTTTAAGTGATTCTGATGCCTGACCAACTGGTGAATCGCTGGGGGCGCTCATAGAAAAATTATAAGGGAGAGTAGGCAGCGAGTAAAAGTTCAAGATAATACCAAGGCCATCCTGATCGATGAATTCTTTGGAATGGGACGAATTTTGGAACAATCCTTCCAAAAACTGTAGTAAGAAAGTGTAAAAGCAAAAGCCAAAACGTTATGAAAAATCTTCTCGTTTACATTTCAGTCAGCATACTAGCCTCACCTTAGCTGCAACTTCGATAAACGATACAATAGTATTTTCCCGTTTATCCTCGACTTTCGGTGGATCTGCTTCAGTCATAGCAACATCCATAGATTCAGTAGCCATCTGAACTTCATAATCGTGTTTTTCATCTTCGGTCCCTACGTGAAGCCTATTAGTGTCATCATTGATAGTCGAGGGATCAGCTTGACCAAGTTCAAGTATTCGATGTAGCATTGTTTGTATGGAATTCATGATTGAGGGTTTTAGACTCGGGTGATGTCGCATTAATTCGTCAATTGACGGTCCTAGGACGCTTGCAAGGTCATTATCTTGCAGAGCACGCAGATGTTCAGTTGATGTGAAAATTGAGAAAAACTTGTCGATTGGATTGGCTTCTTTGAAGATTTCGAGCCCTTGATTGTTGAGACAAATGGCTCCAAACGCATTTGGGATGTGTTGGATAACCTGCATTAAGCAATAGAATGAATTCATGGTCATTTCATTGCCATGCGTTAAAACAGCAATGAAAATTGTATATCCATATACGTACATCGACAGACACGGGTATATCATTACATATTGACTTTAAAAACGTTTGTGGTAATTTGGCTTCTTGTATTATCGGCAATGATGTCGGTTCATTGTGTATGAAGGTTGCCATAAGTTGAATAGCTGTAGACAACATAGCAAGTAATTGTAAGCGTCACGTAATAACTATACACGTTATGTAAATCAACTTAATAAAGCTGCGTCTCTTACCTAGAGCATAAATACTACTACCAAACACATTCGGCTGACCAAGTATGCCGTTGATCGATTCTGGCAGAGATGTTTCAATAAGATTGCGCAAGCCGTCAGCAGTGCCTGATGTCTGCATCATATGCAATACAAATTTGAGCATTGATTTAAGCAATGATGATAAGTCATAGGGCAGCACAAAGTCTTCGTCTATGTATAAATATACCCGTTATGATTAATGAATAAACAGTTATCGACAAGATTGTTCAGTATACATAGATAGACAGGTACCTTTTGCAGAAATGGATGTCGACGAGGAAACATTTGATATCTTGACATCTTCCATTTGGTCGCCATGAGCGACTCGTGCTAAACTTAAACTATTATTGGTTTCATCCTGATGATAAGATTGACAAGATTGTTTGGTGTTAGAGATAGTCAAACCGGCTCATATAGAAAACATGTCATAGCTGACCTTGATTCTGTTTACAAGTATGTTTACTCCGCTGGCATTGCAAAAATTGGTGAATGATGGGTTAAAGCCATAGACTAGGCTATCCAGCAGAATAACAGCCTTGGTGACGTTCTAAAGAAATAGTTGAGAGATATGTTTAGAAACACAACAATCGACACACAGTAAAATATTCAGAATTTAGTTCTCACTTTTGTCTGAGAAGGATTCTTATTTAGCAATAATTGTAACAGCGTTGGCACAATTCCAGCTGCTATAACCATAGTTCCTCCTGTCTGTGTTGAAATAATGTGCGATATCAAGGCGAATAGTGCATCCAAGTACTCTTGCGAGTAAGTTGCTAAATTATGTTGGTAATAAATATCGCCGTCACTTGTAAAATTCTAACTGATTAATACTCGATTTAATATTCTACACTTACAATGCTCATTTTCCAAGTCCGCAATCACTCTGCGAAGGACATACAGTAGAATGCCGTGATTAACTTGTGCATTGATTGCAGATAGAACTTCACCCAGTCTAGGACGATAGCGACTGATTCCTTCCAGAGCGTATAAGGCCACGGTTTGAATTTCCTGGTAAATAACAAATAACGTAAACGTTAGTGTCACCTATAAATTTCAGATGTCTGTATTATAAAACTATGTCTCAATACATACCAAGGGTACATGTCGTTCGGGATGTATTAGGTCGGCTAGGCTCGCCACAAGATCAGGTTCGTATAGGAAAACCTTGGCGTAAGCGACAGGTTCTTGTGTCACGTGAGCTTAATGTGAAATTCGCATAAGTATTTGATATGCATTCAATATTCCAAGCATCTTGACTATTTTACAAAAAGTAATATGATCATCACCTAACATACCCATAACAGCGATTGCAAGAATTCTTATCGTTAACATCTGGCGCCTCTTCTCAGCGTCCGTAATCTTAGTTGCAATCCGAATCCGATTCAATAGATCATAATGAAATTCTTCAGGTACAGAATGTTCTTCAATTACATGCTCCAAAATGTCTATATCTGTTGCGCCCAACTCATTAAGATTATTTATAGTAATCAACGTAACACCTTCGCTGACTTTGGTAGCTCCTCCACTAGATGCACTATCCTTTCTCTTTTGCTTAACGGGAGAAGGTATTGCAGTATCGTGTTTTTTATCGACAGCTGTTCCAGCAGCCTCAGTTGGCGTTAAATGGCGGTAGAATTGATAAGTGAGAGTAGTCAACTCCTCCGGAATAGCTATGTTGTCATAAGTAAGATCCTTCAAATCAAGGTCATATTCTTTAGTGCCCCAGCTATGGGTGAGGGATAAGATGCGATCTTGAGAGATCGTAAAGCTTGTACGAAGGGCCCGTTGATTACTTAGTCTTTGTGCTGGGCGTAACACTAAACGGAGAAGACTTTCTAGAACGTCGAGATCCATGGTATTTAAAAGATCATTAAGATGCTGCAAGAATGGAACAAATATTTGGTTTGTACATGTCAGCCCAATACTAATAATGAAACATTGTATATTACGCTAAGAACAATTTTTGATCAAACCGTACTTCATATGAACTGTATAAATTTCTGTTTGTGCAATTTTCCCATAAGAGTCGTGAGAACTTTAAAATAGCCAAAAGTATATTCTTCGTGGGTGGGGTAAATTCTGTCGTTTGTATTTTCTTTAGATTATATTTATTACAAATATCCTCGAGAATTGTATCAAAGCGATTCAGTACGCCGATCCAATGAAAAAGATCTCCCCTCGGGAAGGTCCACTCCGGAACCGAAGCAACTACTGATGGTAGTTCATCTTCTTGACAGTCTGTAAGTTTCTGAATAATTTTTTTAACGGATGGAGCCTAGAATTTGATTGCAAAGATAAAGATCAAAATCCGGCAAATACTAATGTTAACACCACAACGATTGTAAACCAAGTTTCAAACGATCGTTTAATGTGGCGCAGCAATGATAAAATTTTGCAAAGTGACCAAATGATTGACACCACGGACAAGTTATTACTCGAGCTTGACCGTTGTACTGTGTAGATCGTCGAGATCGTCACGTATAGTCTCAACAGCATGATGAGAAAGAGCATGAGCGTGTGTGCGTTTTTATACTTACGGGTGCCACCAACTTCTTTGGGGTTTTCTTTATCTTCATTATTATTATGACTGATCGAGCAGACTAGTGTTAATATCGTATGTAGAAAGAAGGGGGGTTTCTTGAACTAGGATATTTTATGCGCGTTTTGATAGGATGGATTTGTATTGGATTTGAAGAATTAGTTTCCCAACCCTTGCGAGTAAAGGCAGCACTGGATCTTTGGTGATAAAGGATGAGCGTCGTAAGTGTCCTAATAAGGCAAAGAATGTAGGCGTATACAAACGGTGACATCATTCCTGGTTACGTATCCAACATTTGATGCTGCGCATATTGAATTAATAAATCGTGTCATTTTGGCACGATGTTGATATTCCAACCAGTTGGTTGACAAATTGTTTTAATCGTTAACGCCACAACCGTTCCATTAATAGTCAGACAATAACGAAGAATGCGACAGATATTGAACGTGCTGCGAAGGGGAAACTTGAAGGCGAAGAGGCGAGACTGGGAACGTGAGAAGCGTCACAGTGACATAATAATATTTTTGCGCACCATTGTCACTGGTCTTGCAAAATTACACTGCCATATACGTGTAAATTGACGCTTTCCGTATAATCACATCGATCATTTTGTAAAATCGCATAGTAATCTTTTGTCATTAATGGTATAAACAGTAAATTACACTCAAATGAAACGTTGAATAAGAATGAATTTCTTATTAAACCACCCATCTGATGTTAGGCTAAATAGCTATAACATTGCTTTCATATGAAATTCTTTTTTAAATTGCTATTTTGCCGTAAGCAAGCGCGGTTTTCCAAAAGTTAGTCTCCTCCGCAGCTGTCATATGATGGAGGAAACGGTGTGCAAATTTACTGATAAAATGGTAAGGTCAATACCAAGACAAGCAGTTGTAGTCAATAAGCTTTTTTAAAGTATAGTCAAACTCCTCTAAATGTATTCCTTACCTGTCGAATTTTATGCAGTTATGCATTTAGAGGATAGTCACATGATATGGAGCAAATGCAATTGATTGGATAGACAAATATTCAAAGACGTGAAATTTACTTGAAAAGGCAGAATAACCCAAATATTCCCAAAAGGATCTTGTTGAATGGTGTGAACAGACGTTAAAAGTGAAAATCGATATCTCGATTGCTGAAGCGATCAAGTGAGTTCTTGGGTATAGATGAATCGCACAAGCGAGGAATGGTGACTGCGAGCTCAAGGGCGAATACCAATTGTAGAAAAGGCACGGTCTTTTGCAAATCATTCTGATACGAATATTACAGCCTTTGAGAGATACTGCAGACTATCTGGTTACTATTCATGGTGTGGTTTTATGGAGGTAATTACATTTTCAAATGGATGGCTTCGTCAATTTAAAAAACGACATAATTTAAAGCAAATTCGAATGCATGGTGAGAGTGGTTCTGTGAGCGAACTAGTAATTGGAGAAGCCATTACTGGTCTTAAGCAGCTAACAAACAATTACGCATGGAAAGACATACACTCACCGGCAAAAAGTATCGACTCAAATCTTGGTGTAACACCATACCGTATAAAACCCGTTAACTTCGATGGGCTATGCTGCGACAACTTACTAATAAAATTTTAATAAATTATATATCATTCGAATCAGAAAATCTATCAGTTTTATTAACGGTCACTGGACATATCCGAACAGGTGATATGTTACACAAAATCTGTATAGCGGAAATTACACAGATGAGAATGCATGGCAAATAAAGTTAACATGTTTTATTTTTATGTATTTTTAAACACATGACTATAAAACATACAATGCTTGCATACTGACTATTTTAATGTCATTTTTGAGGGTTTTTACAAGATACTTCGACATACACAAAGTTTTTAACCATTTTATAATACAATACGCTTTATTAAACTATCACTAACTGTACCCTAGACATTTTAACTTGAATAGGAGGCAGCCACGCTCCGTCGAGACTAGTTAAATCCCAGTGTCGATTACTTTCTGCTCTCCCGCAGTAGTCGGCACGACACATGCGTGCGTCGGTAAAAGCAAACCTTGAATTTAAGGAACACCGACACAGATCGTAATATCAAACCGATCCCAACTTCATTCGTGGGCAATTTCGATCGTATAACTTCACAAAAAATGTACAATCCGCGAAACGGAATCGACATCTCGTACACAATTATCTGTAAGAGGAGAATGTCAGTTTTATATATAATATTGACAATTTTCAAAGTTGGCAATACCTACAATAAACATGTAAGCCATACAACTTTACTAAACTCAAATCCATGCCCGTTCCTATTTATGATAACTTTTAACACCTTCGCGATTTTAATTTATCCTGAATTCCAGATCGGTTAGCTTCATAGACCATATAATATCGATTTTGCGGCCAGAATTACGGTCTTCGCCATCTTTTTTTCCCGATTACGGAAGCAAACAAACATTCCTCCCCACTAGGTGAAGGTACATCCGGTACATTACAGTTTTGTTGATATCAAAAAATTTTACATCGCAATATACCTACAAATAAATATTCATTTCCCGGCGTGTACCACGGAAAAGACTACGGATCAGGGGGTAAAATATTTCGCGATATCCAAACTCGGACAAATTGTAATTTGTAAGGTCGTTGTCTCGTTCAAACGACTCGACGCTAAGAAAAAGAAAAAATCGAGCATGAGAAAAGTCGAAGAAACACATATATTAGAATGATCCTTGATTCTTACAGAACGTTCAGATAGTCCCATACGAATTTTGTTGTATTATTGACTCGTGTTTTCAAATAACTCTCGTCCACGAAATTACGGAATTCATTTGTCTAAATAATGAGACTTTAACTGTAAAACAACAAAATATTTGTAAACTAATGATACCTTAATAAAATCGAAAATACTCACCATAAAATTGTAAACCGTAAAGTTTTAACATATTGATATTAGCACAAGTGCCACCGTGTATCTGCACGATCCTGTCGAGCATGATTTTTAACATTTTTGCAATTTTAATTTTATCCTCGAAAAAATGTGAATGCTGATGTTGATTGGGTGGACCGCTAATTTCGCCGATCGCAAATTCCAGGTGGCTTCGTTGACCAAACGATATCAATTTTCCGGCTGACGCTACGGCTTTCAGCATCACTTTTCCTCAAGTCAAAGTCTTCAGCAGATGCAAACAAGGCCACCTCTCCACTAATGAATAAAATAATTGAGGTCAATGATTTCTCTGCACATTAAAGCGCAATACCAGTCATCACATACAAAAAGACATCCATATCCTTGCCCATGGACATTAATGTTTTCAAGACTGTTTAAATACAGACCTATTTTTAACTGGAACAGTTCCAATCACTTACACTTTCGTTTAAAATATTTGTGTTTTATAGTGTTAGACATTTTTATTGCGACGCGTTAACATGTAACTGAGGCATGTAACTTCCTGTTTGTGTACTGGTTAAGGCTGATATTGTAGTGATCTCAATACAATGTCTTGAATGCCTCTCTCCTCGCATCTTCGTTGGCATGTACCATTGACATTGATTCAGCTGCTGCCCTGACAAAGGCATAGTCAACATCTTCTGGTGTTATTGTCTCGCAGTCATCAAGGAAGGTCACAAAGATATGATGTTGAAGGCTGACAGAATTTCCAGAGGCATCAGCTGGACAATGATTCAAATAGATTGCATTCAAACTTTGTTCCATGTTGCCAATTCTTTGCTTTGCAAGATTACTTGGAGAAAGTGATTCCTTTATTCTCTTGAAGAATACTTCTGCATCATCTTCAATTTTATGTTTAAGCCTTCTCCCTGAAATAAAGTATTGAATTGATAAGCAATAATACAAAGAAACTCACACTGTACTATTCTATCTTATGTCTACTCTATTCTATGTACATACTACTCTATGTCCCCAACGCCCTGGACAGATGGATAAACAAAGAGATAGTGAAATGTAAGAAATAAAACGATATTTATAAGAGGTGAAGGGGTTGTGATAAATGGGAGAGAGAAGGTATGATAAAAAAGTGGAAATTAAATAAACATTACAAGGTGCAAACAATAAGAGTGTGTATGGAATATTTAATAGAATAAAACACATTAACACTACTCTCCGGCTACTCTATCCTATGTACACACTACTCTATGTCCCAACGCCCGAGTCACAAGCTGTCGGCAAGAGGGTTCGGAGTGCTGCAGCAATCTCCGTATCTCCTCCTTCGAAATACTCCAAACGTTCATTCACTGGCTTGCCCAAAAGAATACCCCTTACTCTGCCGCGTTCCTCAGAGTGGTTAGTTTAGCTTTGGGCTTCATGTTTGTTGCTAAGACAAGAACTAGTATACTGATATACGTGAATATAATAATAAATTATCGTTATATATAAACTTTGTGACACTCTATGAAAGTTACGTCATAATAATAAATACTGTGACCCTCCTATGTAGTCACACTCCCCTATAGTCACTGTGACTGTAAAACAACATCTATTTACTTACATTTCGAACAAACACCCTAAACGCAATAAATATTGTAAAAAGTAAAACTTGAGCAAAGCCAGTTTAGTTCTCCATAAACAGGCGTTATTTTTGTGATTTGTAGTCTATATGACAGCACAATGATATGGATGAGGATCTTGTTTTCATTAAGTTGGCACAATATTAAAGATTTGAATATACATTGCAAAAGATTAACATAATCAGATATTTACAATAACTGATACACATATTTTGTCATCTTGACTTTATTATTTCTTTAAAAAACAAAGTAAATAAAATATATTTGAAGATTCACTAGAGCGATTGCATGGGAGAAAAATACTCGGACCCAAAGCCATTGATGAGTATAACCTATTTCTTTGGTCGCTCTAGTGAAATATTATTGGTAATATTATTAACATATTCAATTTTACTTCTCGTTTCTTTATCTACCCAATTTTTAAGCGCTTTGATCGCTTTTCTCGAGAATTTTGTTGGTGAAGGTCTTTTAGAATAAAAGCAATGATGCTTTTTCTTTCGCACGATTTGTGGAATTTTATAATCACTTTGTTAAATAAAACTGAGTCCAGCTCAGGTCTTTTGATAAAGATTTCAAAATCTTTCCATAAGTATTTGACATTTAAAATAATACTTTCGCTCACAGAGCGGTTGTCTGATTTGGGATTTTAATTTGACTGAGAAAATTTTTTGTAAGACACCCAAAAAAGCGAATAAAAAAAATTAAATATGGATAAATCTAGGTTCTCAAAAAAAAAACAAAAAACAAAAAAAAACAACAAAAAAACAAACATATTTATTAGTAGTTAGTGGAATATTTATTGTTTTTTTTATTAGTTGGAAGTGGTCTCATAATTTACAGAAATAGTTTAATCAAAACTAGCAATAGTAAGCCATTACGGGAGGAAAAAAAGCCAACTCTGCCTCCCGACAACCCCCAATCAGACCAGCCATCCTTCTGAATTGGTAAGGATTGATAATCATTGCGGGAAATCTCCTCATTACCAGTAATTTTTGCTAGATATTCCATTATTATTTTTCACTTTTGCTTTTTCCTCAGAAGTAAGCAATCCTTAATTAACCAAATCAAAGAATTTAATCAAAACCAGTTAAAAACTAATCAGTTATTGACTGAAATTTTACAAGAACTAAAAAACCAAAAATAATATGCCAATTGGTAATAGAAACTAAAAGGGATTGGTCGGAAATATATTTCAATACCCCTAACTTCAGAAACAACAAAAGGTGACAAACTATGATCCATCCATAATAAATATTTTTAAACATAGTTAAGTGTACTCTCGCAAATTCGGTACTATCGTAGACCCGCCGCTTTAACACCCGAACTGCGAGACGTTATAGTGGGTACTACTCTAGGGGATCTTTGCTTGCGTGAATTGTTGCTTTGAGCATTTGAGTTACAATATAGGATTGATTAGTCGTGAGTAAAGGACCGAAGACAAGTCCGATCAACGACCCAAAAATGAATTTTCTTATAGGTTAAATTGTTTGCAATATTGACGTTGGAAAAATTTTGTGATTTGATTTTTTTAAGACGAAAACGAGTGCGGGTCGGATTATTTTATACTACGAATTCTGATCGTCGATCAAACAGTCTTTGATACAAAATGAACAAAGGCGATTGTAGTCTTCTAAAGTCCCAACAAATTTATTCCCTTAATTCATTTTCATCGCTCACCCAATGTTTCTAATACGATAATTGTTTGCTGGTCATGAATTGTGTCAGAATTGTAGTACTTTATTCGAGCAGTATACAAAGAATTATGGGAATTTGTCTCGATTATTGATGGTAATCCAACAATAATAAAGAAAGCAGCTATTTCTTTTCTTCAAGTTTTCGTTTTTTTTTTCTTGGTTCATCATGAGTTGGGGTTAAGTTCATTTATGGTTTATTATTTTTCGTTCTTCTTGATAAATTTCATAAGTAATTTTTTCTTGCTCTAGATAGTCCTGGAGTGTTTGGGTATCATTGATTTTAAAAACGTATGGGGCAATTTTTTCTCCTTGAGCTTTTTTTAGAATGCTTCTAATAGTGCTGTAATTCTTTGGTTCCATGGTCGATTTAATGTAAATTAGTTTCATATTAATATTTTTATATATAGAGATAATCCTATATTAATCACATTATGGTTTATTCTGGTATGATAAAGTGAACATTAAAATTGACCAGTGTGGTGACGTTTTGAAAAGTAATAATGCTGCTTGTTTATAATAATAATAATAACTTATGGACTTGTTAATTTTAATTTTCA